GGTCACAAAATCATGCCGTGTGCTTTTTAATGAGAACAAGAAAGTTTATTTTAAAATTTTTCGGCGATTTTTGTAGTTTTCGGATGCTAAATTTGAATTTAAAATCGTATTCTAAGATTTTTACACGCCGACATGGTTTTTACATAAATTTAACAAGTTACAAAGTGTAGGTACTCGTAATTTCTGTTACATTATCAGTTGGAATGTCGAAACATAGATGACGAGCGGCAGCGTCCAAGACGATAAAATTAACGCGACATATTATTTAGAATCGTTAAATCTTATATCGGTAAAAACAAGATCCGATACAAGTTTTGTCGTAACCGCCGCCGTGGGCATTTGTTTTGTTTAAACATTGCCAACATTTTATTTTTTTTTTTTTTTAATAAATTTAAATGTCAATTTTCGTCGTAATTTTTGCATTTTTCGAGATTTTCAAGGGCGTTCGGATCCCGGCCCTAATAACAATGGCATTTATGTACGGATAGGACGTCCGCGAAACGTCCTGCCGCCGTCGCAAAAGTCAAGGTCGGACCGCTATTACCGCGATCGGCCGACGTGCGGCGGCGGCGGCGGCGGCGGCGGCGGCTCGGGGGTGGGGGGGGCACCGGAATTTTCTCTTCGCGAGTCACGTGCGGGCGTCACGGTGCGACGGGGCGGGGGGGTTGGTTGGACCCGGCGTCCTTCTTTTCGGTTCTGTCGCGCGCGCCGGCACACGGTATTCCGCCGCGCCCTGTACACATTTATACATAAATTTATTTATTTTTCTTTTCCCCGTCACACGTACGTGTGTGTAACATAGCCGGCCGACGATCACGCGGTCCCGGTAATGACATCGTTACGCGTCCGCGCGCGCGTGAGTACGGTACCGCGTCGATACAAGGCCCGTCCGGCGATTAAGGCGGACCGAAATCGTACGCGCGTCATCCAATCGGCGACGGCGACGGCCCGTTTCCTCCTATTTACGGACGACCGTGCGCGTGCCGCGGCGACACCGCGGGCGAGTGCCGGACGGAAGTCGACGTCCGGCGACGGCCGCAGGGTCTGGGGCGACACCGTTTCACGATCGGAACCGTAAGTCCGGCGCGCGAACGACGATTTTTTTTTTTTTTTTTTATTTTGCACCTTCTCCATGTCACAGGGGTCCGTACGACACGACAAAAGCCAATCGACGACGCGCGTCCGTGTTAAGCACGCACGAACAATACAGTATTCGATGAAAATAATTCCCGATTCCAACCGAAAAAAAGTTATTGTCGATCTAAAAAAAAAAAAAAAATAAAATAAACGTTTTTTTGACTTTTTTTTGAAAACCGTAAATTGTGTCGCTTAGACCCTTTTGTCGTGTCACCATCGGAGTCTACCGTTATATTTTCGAAGTCGACAGTTTCGACGTGTGCCGGCCGGAAACTCGTCCCAATGCATCCAAAAGCAGAGCCCGTAAAATTCGATTCTGATTAACGGGGAAGGTTTGTAGAACCGATTATCAACATTTTTATACTTTTCTGTAAAGTAAAACCGTTTATATGGCAATCCAAGAAAACCATACCATTTACTTGCAACCGAAATATCGGTTTAAAATTGTAATTTCTCTTTTCAAAATAATATTATAATCCAGTGATATTTAAATTTTTTCTAACACGTGCTCATAATTAATCGAGACATAATCAATGAATATAATATAACACAAATTGTACGTACAAATCACAACAATAAACTTGGATAATTTTTGTATTTGTTTTTTTCTTTTTTTTTTTTCACTACCATGCAATCGAGTTGAGTTTTTCACTGAAACGAAACGGTTAAAACTAAAAAAAGTGCGCCCGCAAATACGCCCCCGCATAATCTATCAATTCTAATGATGTGCGCTGCGTTTCGAGTAAAATATGTCCCGATTGGCGGGTAAATATTTCGGATTGTACATCCTGGAACGGACACTGCAGTCTCCGTCTCACAAATATACGACACAGCAATCCGTGCGTTATACCGGCACAATCGTGCGCTGTTGGTTTTATAATCATTAGAGTGATGAATCGACTTATTATCAAACTTAAAGATAAGAACATTGTCTGTGGGACGTACGCGTTATTTTTTTCTCGATAAGATAATATACTAATATGAGTAACCGTGCGTATCGCAATTCAACAATGTTGTTATGCTTATTAAAATACACCAATACACTACAAAATATATCAAATTTAAAAATCGTCTTCTTCTTCTTCTTCTTCTTCGCGTTCATCCCAACTATTCGGAGTTGGCCGCTATCGTTTTAAACTTCCACTTGATCCGATCCCCCACATCGTCTTCGCATACATCCACCATCCTCGCATCCTTCTCAAACCATCTGTTTGTCTCTCTTTCCCTCCTTCTACGTCTATTTTCATTACAGTTCTCACCGATTCCGGTTCGTCTCTCCTCATGATGACACGCCCGAACCGTCTCGGGCTATTTTCTTTCATTTTGTCCACTATCGAAACCACACCTATAAGCGACCACTTATAACGCACCCGCTCCTTATCCTAACACCTCTCGTCACTCCGCCTAAGCGTTCTCATATCTGCTACGCTCGTTCTCCGTTCTATTTTTAACATACACACACTCGCATATTACAACATTAAACCATAGCCGAAAAATGACGGGAAACAAATAACATTAGTCGATATTGTATAGTTTTAGTAAGAAATGTTGAAAATGTTAACCGGTCACGGTCGACTTACCCAGGGTCACGTCGGTCGATTCGGATATCTATCCGTCCGTCGTATTACCAACACGCACCAACAGTGTTTATGATAACGCGTTTACGTACGACGTGTGCAGTGTACCCGTAATACGTGTTATACGTGTAATAGTGTAAGTACACATTGTAATATACGCCTATATAATAGTTGTTCGGTTTTTTTTTTTTTTTCTCCTAGTCGTCGGGTTAATCTCCTTTTTTCTCTCTCTCTATATAATGTACACGGGTACCTAGTTCTTCAAATACACACAACAATAGCGACGCCTTCGTCGTCGTACGTCCCGGACCCGGCGGACGTGTAGGTATATTATTATACACTTATATTTAGCACCTCGCGAGACGTCGGCGTGGCACCGCGCGATGACGATGACGCTGCAGCGCGCGGTATGAGAAGAGACGCGTAATTATTGACTTTGAGCTTCTTTTCGAAAAGAGAAAAAAAATTAAAAAAGAATAAAAAAAAACCGGCTATTTTCTTACACACATGCACACACGCACGCACGCACACACGCGGTCATACAAACAAGACGTGTTGTGTGCGCGATTGTGTCGGGAGGGCATTGTTAATAAACGCCGCATTGTCTTCCACATTATTATATACACACGCGCGCGCACAAACACACACGCACAAACACACACGCACACGCACACACACACACACACATACACACGCGCGCGCGCGCGCGTATATAATAGTCGTAATATGCGTACGGACAATGGGCGGGTAAATATGGGCTCATTGTGTTTGCACGCGGAGTCGAAAACTAGTATATATATTTTGTAAACATCGGATATGTGTTATTGAGGATTTTTCTGTGACTGAAATTCCATCGTCGTCGTCGTCGTCGCCGTCAGCTGCCCGGCCGATTCTCCGGTGCCTCTGCGGCACTAAACTCGTATAATAATAATAATAATAACGATAATAGGTAGGTATAGGTTCATGTTATATACTTGCATTCTTGCTCCGTGACGACTCTTTTTTTTTTTACTTCGAAAAACCCACGTACGAGAACATCGCCGTGCGGATCACAAAGCGCGATAAATCAATAAATAAAATGAAATATTGTCCGTGTGTTTCTGTTCGTCTCGAATCTTCGATCGTTTCTACGGAGCCGAAAATGTTTTGTTACCCGAAATGCCACGATTTTCGCGGTTTTTTATCAAATCAAATAACAACTGAAAAACCGAATAACTCAAAAACCTCCGGAAAAAAAAAAAAACAAAGATTGTACCACGCGTCTGGAAAAAATCGATATTATATAGTATTCCGTACGAATTTCGAGCCTGCACGATTATTTTCAATCGAATCTACAACTAAAAGACAAAATCGAAAATTTTTTTTTCATCGGTTTTTCGTCAAACGCTTCGCTTTACTTCAATACGGAACTCTGCGGATCAATTGCAAATTTAATACAAGTGTTTTAACAATTAAACAGATAGTTGTAGTAATTAGGTACTGTACTCACTAACTAGTAATTCCCACGCACATTGCGTTCAAATCAAAAAGTATTATAATTTAATATTTATACCGATCAGCGTTCGGTAGATAATTGTCAGAATAATTGCACATCACACGGCAAGACGGCGGTCTGGTACAGTTATGCGGCAATATCCGCAGTGCTCGTTGTTTAGAGACACCCGATTTAACGTCGTATCATCGCCCGATTTAGTGCGATTATTTTCCTATTGGCGGCTAGGGGCGACGCTGTGCAGGAAACCTAGGTGCGAACAGTGTCATAGACTGCTTTTGTAAATACTGCGTGCACACGAACCTCGCACACTAACAAATCGATTTCGCTTGTTTATAAAATTAACGCGTACCGCAATCGTGTACGTATACCCGCAGAGAAAATATAAAAGGCGCACCTGTAGTGTTTCGTTACGCACAAGATTACATTTCCATAACGTCGTATAAATCCTTCAGCTCCTTTATCGGGCGGGCGGAGACAATTACGTTTTTGTTAACGCCGATTCGTACACCCTGCCGACATGACGACGGTGTCAACACGATATGTGAATATCGCATGTAAATTGTCATGGTGAATCAGCGTTGAGATTTTCCATGCGACACTTTTGTCGCTACCGGGCAATTGAATATTATCGTACGGAACGGTTTTACACCGCGCACGCGCGCGAACGTAAATCATATCGGTGTGCTATCCCGGCGCCGGGTAACCGATTGTCCAGACGGTTCGCGCGCGCGTACAGCGTACGAAATAGAAAACCACGTGGGAAATTTAACGCGAAACGGTTTTGTTCGTCGTTATTCGACCGTCGCGATGACCGCCGCGGTTCCGTTTTGGTCCGAACCGTACGCCGTTTCCGTTTCAAACGTATTGGGAGACGGCCGTTGCGCGCGGACCGCCGCGGACGACGCGAAATCGGCGATGCCCGAACTCCGCCGGATGAACGCAACGGCGTGACGTTCGCGTTTTGAATCTCGGTTTGACGTATTATTATTTTCCCGATACGCCGCGCCCGCGCGCGTTGGTACGCCGGGCGGACAACGTTTTCTCCCGGGTTCGTTGCGATTATTTTTATCGCTCGTCACTCCCGCAGTGCTCATTCCCGCCGACCGTCCCGGCGCAACGTCGTCGGGACGGGAAACTAATCGAGGCGCGCGTCGCGGGGAAACCGCGGTCGGCAGCGCACGCAGGAATAGAAACGAAGGACGCTGAAGCGCCGCCGACACAGATGAAGTGGAAGTGGGTTTTGTCGAAAGCCAGAAGAGCGGACCTATTGCACGCGTCTCGTAACGGCGAACCGCCGAGCCGTAAATATTCGATATACCGGCCAAATAGACGAGTGGTTTTAGTCGCGCGGGCTCGGGTCCGAGTTCGTCTTCGGCCGTACGCGAATGCCGGACGACCGCTCCGAATTCTAACGTCAAGCGCGCCAGCGTCAACGTGCGAAGAGGTACACGGCGCCGGGCGGCCGAACTGAACCGTTCCGCGGTGGCATTTGAAAATCCCAAAACTGATTGTTCGACCCGCAATGACGTTTGAACGGCGGTCCGAAACTCAAGGACGGAGATAAATGGACACATGGGTTTTTTAAACTCAGGTTTGTGCGTCGGATTCCCGCCTATCGAACTTCGCGCCCCCGCGACGGCGGCGGGCGCCCGTCCCCCGTTATCCAAGGACGGCTTCTTTTTACCTTTTTTTTTTCTTTTTTTTTTTTTCGATTTTACAACAACAACGGTAATAATTATCTCGTTTATCGTCGCGTTTTAACACGGGAACACGCGGCGCGCGCCGACGGTCGCGCTTTTACGACACGGGACCCGCCGGCCAGCCGATCGCCGCCGAATCGAGTCACGACGTAACGCGCGGGCGGGTATCGGGCGCGCTCCGGGCGCCGGATAAGGTTACCCCGACGCCGCGGCGGAATCGCGAGAGTGGCCGCACACGTTTCGTAGTAATTGAATAATAGGTTTTTTTTATTTTTTTTTTCCCCGCCGCCCTCCTCTCGTTCTCCCCCGTGTCACCTTCTCCGCCGCATTTCTATCCGGCGGACCACGCGCAGCGCGATAGCGATCCGAACGCGAAGACCGCGGCCGCGCGAGGACGCCGCCGCCGCAAACGTTGAATGACAATTACGACCGCGGCGATGCGCAAGAGGCGAGGCGGTTCGCGCGCGCCGGAACGGTCCGTTATCGATACCGCGTTTATTTTTTTATATTTTTTTTTTTTTTTCAATACGTTTTTTTCATATGTTTCTGTTACGGAATTCGCCGAATTCGGACGCGAAACGTAACGAGACCGCGGGTCGCGGCAGCGGTATCCGCGCGCGGTAAACGCGTTCGTGCGGCCGGCGAGCGCATATCGTTGACCACAGCGCGCTTTCGATCGTCGTTTTAGATTCCGAGCGAAACGACGAGGAAACCATATTGGATTTTACCGCGGTACCGTGCGCGAAAATCCTACGAGAAATCTCGCTTTGATGCGCCGAGCGCGTTTTCCGAAAGTCGATTTTCCCGGAGTGGCACTCCGGGAATGTCGGTTTTTTGATTTTCCCGGGAATTCTCATAACAATTGGAAAAAAAAACTCAGGAAAAACGGGAAAATGTTTACGAAAATAACAGCTTTATTACAGTAATTTTATTTTAGTATTGTTATTATTGATTGTTTTTTTGTTAATCAATTTGAAATGTTCGTAGTGAAATTCGGACTCATATTTGTCTGTTCTGGTCGTGGTAAAATTTTCAAAACATTTTAGCCATTTATAAACATTTTAATTTCGAGAGTTTTTACGCGTAATTTTTATTCGATGGGTACCCCCCCGTGGATAAATTCATTAGAACAAACAGAAATGCTTGAAAATTTAATAGAAGGTTCATTATGAGTTGGATTTATAGTGGTCAACAGGAAAAATTTGAGTTTTATATAGTATTTTTTTTTTTTATAAGTATTTTAATGTCAAATTTCGACGAAATTCGTAAATATCATACGGCCTTTTAAAACACGAGTAACCGAACCCCGCTCAGAATAGTTTTTTCGTTAGCAATGATTAACAGTTGCACACGGTTATACTTTCATTGAATTCCTCTTTGTATATTACCTTCTCAACTTCTCACCTACAACCGCGGCCCCACCCGTCGCGCGAAGTGTGTCAGTCCTTTTTGGTATCGAACTTTTACACGGGTTTGACCGTGTATTTCGGATTTAAATGTCGCCGTAATGACCCGCGCTATGTGTTTTTTCAACATATTGTTTTTACACTTGTCTATGAACGGTACAAAACACATAATATATCGTTCATAAACCGACATTGAATGTAAAAAAAAAAATCTAAAAGAAAATACGCTATTCCTTGGGTTACACTCGTACGCTGCGGTTTTTTTTTTTTTTCAGAGCAAAAGTCCACGCATAAATCATAAAACAAAAAATCTCGAACACTGTACGTATACATAATATTATACTCGTATTTGGTGTACATCTAGCGGTCTCGTTAAGACGCATTCAAACGCTCGGCGCTTAACGCTACATGCACGGTACTTTATGCACTTCGGAAATGCTCTTTGGCGGATTTATATCGAAAACCTTAAAAATACTTTTCGTCGTGTTTTTATTCCAGAATGTTGAATAATTGTTTTCGTGTCGGGCCGTCGTATATTATAATAGTTTCGAATTCGACGATATTGAATTTGAACCGTTTCCGAAATAATACTTTGTTTCGGATCTAAAAATGCGCAATACCGTTTCTTCAAAAAGAATGAGTTATCACTCGACAATTCATCAAAATAATAGTGTTTACCGAGCTTAAGTCAACATAATAAGCTCTTTTGCTAATACATAATATGCAAATTCTGAAATTTTCGAACCTGTTCACATTGAATATCTATAAATACGTGTATTTATTTATTGACAATTTGTTGAATGTAGAAAACTCAATTTGTTAAGTGTTTTGGATATTTTTAACAAGTATTTGAATTTAAATTCAGTTTACTATTAAAAAAAAAATAAAAATAAATCATTCGAATACTACTTGCACAAATATTGAAAAACGTAGTCTGAATACATTTCTAACAAGGCCTATAGTGTCTCCGTCCGCGTTTTGGAAAGTTCGTTAAAAATATAAACTCGTTCATTAACTATATAGTTCATAAGCGTGAAATTAAAGAAGTTCATGTAGTATTTTTAGATTCCGAGCGTAGCGAGTTTTACAATGCTGTTTATTTCTTCTTCTTTGTTCTTTGTTCTAGCTTGTGGACAAGTTTTTTCCTAGTAACCTTGTTCCGATTTTTACGTGTAGCAACTTTTCTGAAATACTAAGTTATCTAGATTGTACTTTAAAGATTTCATTTTTTTTTTTTGATTTTCGACGCCATTTTTCAAGTAAAAGCATTTAAGTGGCGAAAAACCGTGGGAAAACGAACAATTCACGATTTCATTATTTTATAAAAACACAGACGACGTTTTCTACCGGAAAAAATGATTTAATCGAAAAATCACGCGACACCTTTTTCCGCTGCCCTCTTGATTTACTTTCTTACGGTATTATTGCTAAAATTGTAGCCCAACTTTTGAGCTTTAAAGGTTTTTTTTTGTTTTATTTCAGTAAGTGTTATCTCGAACAACAAACCACTGTATGTGATTATTCATTATGATTTGTCAAACCAAATCAATTTCCACGGTTCGTTCAAACGTTTCGAACTTTGTACGGATTCGTTCATTCTGAAATACGGTCACGTCGCCGTACGAATTGCTGATCTCAAATTTTATATAAGTATCCTTTGGCTGAGAGTGTATTACTTTTGCCGATAACTAATTTTTAAAAAATATGCAAATAAGAAATAATAAAAGTGATGCATTAATAACACGCCGACACACAAACTCTCCTCCAACCTAAACTTGAAAGTGGAATACCTCGTCAACGGATCGCCGGAAGTCGATAATTTCAGAACCGAAATTTATTTTAACTAACACCCCGTTTATTTATGGAATTTTTATCATAGGTCGCCATTTGAAAATCAAAAGCGGCTACCGGTTTCACCACCAAAAATAAGAGTTACGAAAAAACACATAAATACAAAATTGTACAACGGCTTGTTTCTTAAATGTTCTAGAAAACAAATGCCGGAGAAATGTAATACTTTCCGAGACAATGAGTGCACCCACGTAAATGGATCACCCGGTATACTACTATTGGTCCGGTATGAAATTTAATTCGATCAAACGAGGCGTTCACCATACCGGGTTCGTCCGGACAAAAGACGAAACACAGTGCGACGGTCTCTATTTTAACGGGGGAAATTCGACAAAAAAACGATTTCGAGCCGATAAATAAACCGGAACATCGTATCGTTCGCTATTGTCGCATGTTCTAGTATTCCGGTGTAAAATCGACCGACGCGACACCGTGTAATACTTATAAACGTGTAATATTAAAAAAAGTAAAAAGTACATATAATAGTCGAGTCCTACACAACTAACCTGTCGGGCCGGGTGTATATAGGTTCTCCTCGGTTTTCTTTGACCGGCGTGTAACATACGTACTTACCTACACACACGTATTATACAGGTATAGCAGCTATAATATAATAATATAAGTAACGCACCCACAGGACACTTCTTTAAGGGGCGCACCTATTTATATATTATATTATATTATTATTATTTTTTTTTTTTTTTGTTCCCGGCCACGACAAATCTAACGTCTGTATTTCTTTTTTTTTTTCATTATTATTCTTTTTTTTTTCATTATGTGCGCGCGCGCTCGTATACGGTAAGGACAATAAAATACGATTCTGGCAGACCCACATGACTACAAAACGATCGGATGTACACACACACACACACACACACACACACACACAAGTTTATAATGGTTTGTGTGCGCGTGTCTCTCTCTCTTTAAAATAAAAAAAAAATAATAATAATAAAAAAACGTACACGGACGTGGTGGTACTACGTGGGCGAAGTTTCGAACTCGTCGTCGTCGTCGTGATGAGGCGCAGGCCGCACATGAATGAACTGTGTTGTACCTATACGCGAGCCCGGGGCGTGCGAGTCGAATGCGGGTGATTTAAAAAAATAAAAAAAACCCATTCAAGGTCCACGCCGTCGTTACTTTATTATTATTATTGTTGTATAGGTTTTTTTTTTTTTTTTTCTCCGATTTCTCTCTCTCTCTCTCTCTCTCTCTGCTCTCGTCATTGCGCAAAAAACACCGCGGCGCAACCGTACGGCGAAAAACCGTCGCCGCCGCCGCCGCCGTTCGTCCGTTCGGCATTACGATATTCGGTACACACCGCACACGCTCGCGTCGTTATGACGCGACAGTAACAAACCGCCCACGACGCCCGCAACAGTATTCCGCTCCGCGAGTTCCGTTAAACGGCCGAGCCCGCGGTGCGCGTAAAACGTTGCGATATTTTCGCGGGCGTTCCGACACCGGCGCGCCCGGGGGTTTTCGACGGCGGGGTACGCGGCGGATGAGAACCGCGAGACCCGTCGTCACTGTCCGCCGCTCGTCTGTCACGGGAATCGGTAATTCAAAAGCCCGCGGATATCCTACACAAAAAAAAAAAATAAAAAAACAGTCAACTTCTATTCGGTACATCAAGCCTTTAACCGCACGCGTTTCGTTATTGAGCCGATCGTATTTGTTTTTTTGTGTTTTTAAGCCGATTCAACCCCTGACCTCCCCTCTTGTGCGTACGCCACTGCGTCGTTCGTAACGCACCGGCGCGCCGAATGTTCTATTAAAAAGAAATATAATTCGCCTTGTTACCGCGGAACCGCGGTCGTTTCAGGACACGAGAATACGAGCCGCGGTATAATTCCCACGAACCGAAATGAACGACGACGAAACATCCTTAATAAACGATCGTTTTCCGTTTCTGAAACAAAACCAAAAGCGCGTTCGTTTATACGCACATTCGAATACCGAATCGTCAATCAAATCTATTATCGACTCCGAAAACGCCCGAATCGCGGACGTCTTCCGCGGGGGACATCGGGACAAACTTGTATCGTTACGCAAAGCTTGTGGCGGTGTACGGAGTTATAGTACGCGTGGTTATACAATGCAGTTGAGAATAATACTTGACGGGTTAGATAAAATATTACGAACGGACCAATTACATAAAACACGAAAAACACGAAATGTCCATGTAGCATGTAGAGTATTTATTACTGATATGCAATAGTTTTACCGATACATACGTTACAAATTGTATTACAACATGTAAAAAAAAAAAAAAAAAAATGCAACAGTTAAGTGTCATATCTTATTACATCGTTTATTTTGTCATCTTGCCATCTTTTTTAAAAAAATATTGAAAATTGTTTAAGATTTACATAATATGACGTATCGTTATTATATTACTTGTTATTTTTTCTAGTAATGTTCAAAAATCACGCGTACGGCGAGTTCAAGTGCGATGCACTGTGAAACTACTCGACTGATTTTGATAAGATCAACGTGTGTGATTCGGCCAAACCGACCAAAGTCTACATTCCGTCGGCCGAGAACTCCATTTTTGTTAATGTATGCCATGGAAAAGACAATGCGACGATCCAAGCGAAACATTAAAATAATTTCTTCGCCACACGTGGAATCTAAAACACACACACTACGGAAGATATTACGGGGGAGGACCCTGAAATGACGTTTACCCGACGAACTATCCGTCGGGAACAAATTCACGTACATATACGCCCGCTGCTCCGGAGTCGTGCACATGTCCGGGAACGGTTAACAATGCACACCGCATTGTTTGTAGAGATTTGAAAGAAAAAAAAAAAAACACGTCTCAATATGAACCGATCGTAAATTCTTAAAAAAAATATAAAATTGCGCCGTTAAAACGATCGGCGTTCGAAATTACGACGTCCGCGGAATCTGGGGGAGGGAGGGGTGCTTGAAGTCGAGTCGTTGGTGCTCGAGCGGCCCTTAGCGCCCCCTCGTGGTCGCGCGACTGTTCAATATTAGCCGTTCGTCCGTTATAATAGAAACCGTGGACGATACGTCGCAATAACGTCCGTCCGGCATAAGTCCGACGCAATGTGCCGTCGGTGTTTATGACGATATCGGACGGCGTTCGTGGGTTACACGCACGGTGGGGGCGGTGGTGGGGAGGCAGACGGGGATACGCGTTCGTCGAGTATTTTAATTCCGTTATTATAAATTCAGATTTTACGTCGGAAACCGATCGGAACGCATTCATAATTATTGTTATTAATATGTAAGTACACGCAGTGCGATAATAGTGATTTTGTGTCGTACCGCGGTACCGCGATACATAACATCGATCGTTATCCGGCAGATTTCGTGCGCGTCCGTATCCGCCGCACGCGCCGGACCCGGGCACGGCGGCCGTCCCGCGGTCCTTATCCGCGGCCGGTGCGTGACAAATGGCCCGGGACCGATAATAACAATTATAATATTATTACCGGACGTTCGGGTTTTGTTTTGTTTTTTTTTCAACGGAACGTTTCACGGATACTATAATACAACTATAATACGCGACGAGTGTGTAGTCATTCCTACACACAAACGTGCGCCGGGCCGGTCGTCCTCCGCGCGAATTAAATAAAAAAAAAAAAAAAAAAAAAAAAATGATATTTATGCGTGTATCCGTCGTACACACTGCTCTCGTGTACCGGATCCGACGAGCCCATGAATATTCAACGCGATAATATTATTGTTATTATACGACGCGAAACGTATAGGTATAAAATGTGGATGTATTTTTTTTTTAAAACGATTTTTTGCACGCTCTCGAAGACGAACAAAAAAAAAAAAAAAATGGGCCGTATAAAAAGTCGAGTTTTCGCTAGATAGAAACGAAAATATACGTATATACATACCGGGTGTTTCTGATTTTGCGTTACCGCAGCATTATCCCGGGGAAACACTAAGTCTTTCCATAAAACGGCTCGTGTAAAAACCTATTGCCGGAATTAAAACATAAACCGTACCGTTGTCCTAACTTTCGCGGGGTCGAATGCGTTTTTCGATTTTCAAATAAGCGACCGGTGTTATAAATTCCGCAAAACATACGATCGAATACGATACGCGGTGTTGACATTTTCGATTTCCGACGTCCCGTCGACGAGACGCCCCGCTTTAAACTTTAGGTAGCGGGAGAGTCACACCGTTCAAACGCCGCGCGATGTGCAGCCAAACGGATGACGTTCCGCTATTGTGCGCTCTCCCCTTACGCGGACTTCAAAGTGGAGTGTCTCGTCAACAGGATGACGGATATCGAAAATCGTACCGCCGAAACGTATCCGAATTGATACTACGTCCGTTCGGGGGAATATTTTCAATACGGGTTTCAATCTGAGAACCGAAAACGGATAACCGTTTCAACACCAGAAATACTCCGAAACGTCGCGTCGGGATCCCTACGTAGTTGGCCACCCGATTTTTTCGTAAGGACCCCGGAACTGTGTCAATGTTTTGACAATTTTTTTGCAAACTTTAAACAACCAACATTAAGAAATTCGCAATCTATAACCCTTCGTCGGCAAAATAGATATTTTGAAACCGGGGAGGGCTAACTTCACGTAGCTCCCCGAATTTTTTTTCGGACACGGGGTAATATTTGGAAACCAATTAGCGACCAATAGCGGCTTGCATGAAAAAATTTGCGACTTCGTTTTACGACGAAACAAGTTCAGAAGCTACCCCTCAGATTTTATCCTAACAACATTAGACTTTGAGCAATATTCAACGGCTTATTAGCAACTTGTGTTGTACTTAACTTACATCAACATATGTTAATCGATGTAATATGTACCGGTCGTTCACCGTATTTTATTATTTTTTAACAAACATCAAAAATTTACGTAAAGAAAAGACTAAGTTATCTTGATTATCTATGTCTTTTAGGCAAATGGCTTGAATTAGAGATAGAAAATAATGGGTACACGATAATAAAAAATATTTATTTAATAAGATTAAACACTGTTAAAAATGAAATACAAAAACATATAAAAAAATAAAAAATTATAACACGTACAAAGACTCAAACTAATGCTGAAAACAACCAATGATAAATTAGTTTTTCAACATTACTTTTGTAACAGTAAACATTTTTTTTTTTTTTTTTTATACATACCTGACATAGAGCTTAAGTACACAGGCCCAGTAGTTTACAAAAGATTGAATTTGCTATGAAATAGCGAAAAGAAAAATTAAATACACATAAAATTAGTTTACCTTTTTAACGCATGCATACGCAATAAAAAATTACTTTTTTTTTTTTTTAATAGCAACCGCTATTATTAAATATTAACTATTATCATATTACAAACGTTTTTTACTAACAGGTTGGTGATATTGAAAACGTAAATGGCAATCAAAAAGGTTTTTGAAACACAAGCATAAACATTACATAAACGTCTAATGTAATTCTTGTAAAATAAATACGTACTTGAGATGGTTTTGTCACATGCGTCGTTACATCGTGACAACCTCTAACCTAACCGATTGTGCCGGAATGCAAATGTTACCTCCGTCCGGATCCTACTTAGCAGCTACAAGTACAACAGCCGGTACAGTAAAATCTGAGGGCTGGCGTCTGAACTCGTTTGGCAGTAAAAGCTTATATAGAATCAAGTTTTAAATTGCTTCAATTAGGTCGTTATTAGTTGCTAATTGGTTGTCAAATATTTCCCCAAAGTCCGAAGTCGATAGAAACAGAGTCGGGGGGGGGGGGCTACGTGAATTCGGCCCCTTGAAAATGTCTATTTCGGCGACGAAGGCTAAGGTCGCGCATTTCTAAACGTCGGTTGCTAAAAATCGCATTAAATTGGCTAAATACTTGCACAGTTTTGGCGTCCCCGCGACTAAGCCGGCACAACGCGACGTTTCGAAGTATATTACAATAGTGGGAAAAAAGCAAAACGTAGCGGTAAGTCACGCGAGATTCGCGTTTTGCCGTCAGACGGGAAACGGATTTTACGGACCGCGTTAAGCGTGCAGTTTTGCGCGCGCCGCGCCGACCTCGAGCAGGAGCAGCTGGAGCAGAGCTACCGTCAGGGCGTCGGGCCGACGGTCCCGGAACGCCCGTCCTACAGCGTGGAACACTCGCGTCTCGGCGGCCACGTCGTCGATCCACTTCTTGTACTGGTCGATCACCAAAAACCGCGTTTCTGGATCCGCGGCGTCCTCCGTGCCGTTGCTGGCCGCGTACCAGTGGCTGGTGATGGCGTACTGCAACCCGTCGCAGATCAGAGGGTCGCCCGTTTCGCCGTGCGGCCCGTACCCGGGCACACTGCAAACGAATTCCCGCCACGTCCGGTTCACCGTGTTTTGGATTTCCGAGCTGCGATTTGAATAATTAAACAATAGTCGTACACGAGCAGAGTGACATTTCGGCGCGTTTTTATATTCAATTTTTTTCCTTTAGAATTTCCGTTCCAGGGGAGGTGAATTTTCGCGAAAAATTAAGCTCAAAAAAGGCAAAAAAACTTTTTAATTGTTCGCTTTTGAAAAAATGTCAATATAACCGTTTCTAAAACGATATCGTTATAACAAATATACGTACGTACTTCGCATGATTGGCGGGCCACTAGGTGGGGAAGTTGGAAACGTAGGATATAGAGGAAAATTTAACGTGCTTCGCTTCTGAGCAAAGTTCGGTTTTACAATAAGACTCGTACACTCCCCGTCTCTAGAAATTAAAACGGCTGACCTAACCGAGAAACTATTCACCGGACATTGTATGTATGACGTACGTTGGACTCGAATTTTCCGAATTCTCTGGATTCCCCCCCTCTCGTAAATCCGTCGCTATTAAGCGCCAGGAGTGTAACAATTCAATAATAAAATTCGATGGACTTTCGTCATAAACCGATGAGCTGTCGTTTCGTATCCTGCGTATTATTATCTCGATCCGCAACAGAGGTTACGTAAAAATCCGTCGAACGCGGCGGGACACCGTGTATCGGTGTTGGTGAGTTGATTCTCGAGACTTACTTTGTATACCAGTTGATTCTCGGGTTTCTGTTAAGTATGTACGAGCTGATTCCCCTATCGTTGTACAACAGTAATATGATAATATTATGTTGAATGAGCCACTTCAGCCTATTAGCGTTGCCCGAGCGACACCACGAGGTTGGCTGATGAGTCTCTTAAAAACTGTCTTCCTTTTATTTTTTTTCATATTTTGAACAATGTTATGATAACTCAACTACTTATTTTGTTTGAAATATTTTTGACAGGTATATTAGATATTGTAGGTGTATCGTCGTAGAATATTGCATTTTAGTGTGCACCGGGTAAAAATGTAGAACGCATTGGTTTTGAAAACTTATATTTGATAATGAGATTATCAGTACCTATACTTACTCATCACTTCTCGCATAAAACTTTGGAGTGTTCACGGGGCATGCGTATATTCCAGCGTATATTTTCATCGACAAAAATTGCTATCTAAAATGAACTACCATTTGGCATTACCAACAAAATTTATATTAAAATACGTCCTGTTATTTTCGTTACTGGTTTCAACAATAAGGGAGTCAAACCGTACAACCGTATCTCTCAATGGGCAGCACTCGTTTGGACCAGAATTTTCCGCATTTTAGTTTAACCGACCGTTTATATAGAGAATCTTACAATATTATAGTATTTTATCTGTGTTGTCTTATCGTATGTAAGATCTCGGTGCACGTATATCTATTATACGAAGATATAGATACATGTTAAATATAACTGGACTTTTGGCGTGTTTTAAAACTAAATTGACACGCGCGCGGAAATTCTATGAAAACCCAAATAAATCACTTATAACTCAATTTAAAAATTGGTTTCCGTGATTCAACCGAACGTTTATTTAGCGAGCCTGGAATAGAAATTTAAAAGCGTTGTTCAAAACGGGGTGCCGTTTTACTTGTCACCCAAACGTTCCTAATCGAAACGTGATTCGCCCCCTATCAATAGCCACGGAATCGATTCACCGATATCGGCGCGGGTAAAACGGGTACCCAGGAATCGACTCATATTACCCTGTATATTACGGCACCACCGGCGCCAACGTATTGTGCACCTACTCGATAGATTCTCTGCAGGCTCTGGGCCCGTACTCGACCTGCACCGGAAAGTAACCGTACGGTTGGCCCCATTTTTTCGCCGTCACCAACGTGCACGCGAGCGGTTCGGTCCATTTATCGTCGACGGGAGGTTCGACCGTGTCCGCCATCCCCACGTATCTGCGAACGATCAACGGCGTCCACAACTGCGAAAACCGCATTATCACAAATATTATTATCGTCCCCGGAGGACATCGAAAGCTAGCAAAAAACACGAGTTTTTCCCCCTATTTTTTCCCTTGTAGGTTCCATAATAATTGCCCGCGACGGGGAAAATAACGTACGGGAGAACCAGAGAAATGCGTACGGCAATAAAAGTTTCGTTTTCGATTTTGTTTTTGTTTTTGTTTTTTTATTTCGTTAATCTACCGGAAATATCGCTATGAAAACTTAACTCATAAGTGTGTTTTTTTCAAAAGAAAGCCTATTCTAAGCTTTCTGAATGACCGAAAAAAAAGGCTGGGAAAAAATTCGGACGAAAATTTTCTTCAAAGTGATCTAGTGGTACAAATCCAAAGTAAACGTAACGCGCTACTTAGTATTTTCCCCTCAGCATGGAAAAACATTGAATCATACATTATAATATATGTTTTTGTATTCCACTTATTAATTGCGGCCGATTTTTATGATTCAATGTTGTTTTCACGAAAGGGGAGAAAGTATTTGAACGGTGGGGGTGGTTGTGATAAATGCTATAATTGATATTGATAGGAGAGAGGATTCGCGTAAGTATTATTTATTTACCATTTTTTTTCCCTCCGATAACGTGATATCAATTTTGATCAGGAATAAAAATCATTTAGACCTAAAACATTCATTTAGGGCTCGAGACTTTATGCATTTAAAATCCACAGAAAAATGTCAAAAGAGCCCGGAAATCTTTTTTAAATCGAAAATAACAGAGGATTTTGAGAAGTTTAAAATTCTCATCCATCCCTCGTAACGACTCTAACCCTTAAATGTACAAATTCGGTTTTTATACTACTTACAATTTTGTTTAAAAAATTGTGTTAATCATTTTCGTAGTTTTCGAAAATTGTGTTTTATTAATTAGAACCGTTACAAGGGGGATTTCTAAAAACATAATTCTATTATTTTTATTTTTTTTTTTTTTTCTTAAGTGCATTTTCAAGGATTTGTGATGTGGATTTGTGCATGAAATCACGAACGCTACATATTATTATATTTATTTAAAAAGAAAATACTCACAACGACAATGCTGATATCAGCGCTCAGAGTGTCCAAGTCAAAGTCCGGGTGAATGTAAACGTAGCTCGCGTTGGTGTGCTTTCCCAGAGATGTCGTCAACAGATACACCTGGAATATTGCATGAAAACGCGAACAATTAAAATAACGTCATCGTTTTCTGTAATTAATACGAAATTTATCGGCCAAATAAATTGCAGTGGCTTTACCTTTAACTAAATTTGTTAACGTACATTTTGGTAAAACGGTACGTTTTTCACAAGCAACGGTAACGTATAAATTTAAATCGCATTATACGCGTGTGCGATATTTTAATACCAGAATAATGTAAATGCGAAGAAAGAATGATTAGCGGTAACGCGCGCAGGACTATAATTCGGGAGAGGTTTTGTTTGTAATAATATTCTAGAGAGGGGATAACACATATTATTATTAGTACAGTACTATCACTATTCTGCGGTATAAGATAAAATATGTTGTTGAATGTAATACTTGATTAAAAAAAAACGCAGCGAAAGAAGACATTTTGGAGAGGGAAATTGACCCCTCAACAACAACCCCCTCTCTATGTGCGCAATTGAAGATCAGTATTGAGTACTTACAGTTTTTTTTTTTTTTACTTTTAATAAAAACAACTAGATCAATTTCTAGCCTTTGAACAAAAAGGAAGAAAAAACCAGCGTAATAATCAAAAAAATATACTGCTATAGGCACACAAAAGTAATAAAATTACAAATTTCAATAGTCCGTAAGATTAGAAACGATTTTATGTTGAGACTATACAGGATAACAACGGAATTAAAAAAAATAATAATAAAGGCGTCCTAGGATAATGAGGACGGGCGCAGCCGCTGTTATAGACAATTTAATATTCACCTGTAAGCAACGATAAACCGTTGCTTACGAAAAAACGATTCTGAGCTGAGTTCAGTTAAAAGTGACGCTTTGTCAACAATATATCTGTTGTTTTATAGTAAAATAATTAAATAGACTTTGTACATTTTCTTTAGTAATATTTGTTTAATGTTGTACTGATTTCCCCAGTTTTCTTACATTTTTCCCGGTTTTCCCATATTTATCACATTTTCGGAAAAATCCAAAAAACGACTTGTCTAAAGTACCTCCGAAAAGAAATTTCCTATTAGGAACATTGCTATCGTTAGGAGTTGAATCAAATTTGAAGGCGGGAAAAATCGTTCACGGGAAAAACGGAGCCGTAATATATTTTAACCGATACCTACATTTCGTAAATGTCATGAATCCGTTTTTCCACGCCGATTTCCTATCGGAAAACGAGCTACACTCGAGAATCTGAGCGAAGTAGATAAGTCGCGAACGGATAAAAAAAAAAAAAATAAAAAAAATATAAACATCTTTGTAAAACCGTAAGCTTCCTCGCCGCGCTCAGTTGACCCGTAAAATTTATCGGGTAAAAGCGCCGAGCCCCAAACCCGAATGCGTCTGGTCGCCCGCGGTACCGACCTCGATTTCCGACATTCTTATCGTGCAGTAGGCCGAGGTGAGCACCAGCCGTGACGATATCAACGAGCCGCCGCACGTCGGTTCGTCCTGGTCGAGTCGGCCCTCCAGGTACACCAGGTACGGATGGTTTTCCGGGACGAAGGACCGTGGCGTGTTGCCGGACCGGCTCGTCATCGCGTCCGATTCCGCGCGCGCCGCTGCCCCGCCGTCGGCCGGTCGGCCCGCCAGCGTGTCGGCTATCCATTTGAAGTGCCTGTTGACGAACAGGTGCCGGCCCTGCACGGCGTGCGCGCCGCAGTCCGTGCGGCTCTCGGCCGCGGCCGCCGTCTCCGCGCCCGTGTTGTACCCGTAACTGAACACGCCGTACAGCCGGTCGCCGTGGCACACCAGCGCGTCGCCCCTGTCGCACGGCATCGGCGACGGCTGTCGGCCGGTCGTCTTGGCGCACAGGAAATCGGGCCACGTGTACGCGATCACGTACTTGAGGGCCGGGCTGTAAATCGTCCGGGTTCGGCGTGTAATAATGACAATAACGGAAACGTTCGGTGTCCGAACGGACGAGCGCTCCGTAGTACTCGCGGCACGCCGGGTCGAAAACGAGAGAATACCGCCGGACGCGTAAAACAACGGACCGCGCGTAGAGACAGAGACGCGCGAACCGAAGACGCGTGCGAGAGAGTTAGGGCTGCGTCACGGACGGCGCGAGCGAAAACGTAAGCATTCGCAACACGCAACCGAATGCCGGGATGGCACGAACCGACTTTGACTGTTGATAGCTGACGACAATTTCTCGAAAACCCGTATTTACATTCTATTTACATTGTGTCGCCCACGCATTTAGTCGAGTCCGAGTACTTGTATTTGAAACAGTATATTTGCGTGTGGATCTTTGTACCGGAATCCTCGGAGTGCTTGGTTTCGCAGCTTCTTACGGAACGCACAAGAACCGTTTTACTTTTAATGTTTAAAACACATTCAAATGTGTCGGAATCAAAACGCGAGCATGTAAATGTGAAATGCAAAACCGTACTAATCGTAGAAAAAAATTGTGAAAACGTTATTACTATTTTTCGGTTGTGATCATTTCAATAATTTATGAACGTTCAAAATATTTTGGTTGTAACGTCTTTGCAAATTCTAACATATGTCTGTCTCTCTCGCACATATCTTTGATCCGACGAAATACACTGCTTTGACGTTATGATATGCGCGGTCCATTATTTTACGTGTCTACGGAGAATACCGAACTAGAAAATCTACCGGTTATTTCAAAAAAAAACAAACGTAAAATAGTTTTCACGCGCTCCCCGGGTCGGTCCCGAGAAAAGTTGTAAACTTTTTTCCAGATTTTTCCTCTCTAATTTTCGTTTACATATTTCGCGACAATTTATTTTTCACGAGTACTGGCATGGAGTACCTAACCAAACTTCTTATTTAAAAAAAAAAAAATAAACATTATTATTTTAATTAGACTTTACAATGAACGTTATGTCGGAGAATAGAAAATGGTTAATGATATTATGTCGATTGTCCAATAAAAAGTTTACGCGAAACGGAGAGACGAAGAGAGAAATATTTACGAAAAAAACATGTCCGAGTGATATTGTAAATAATTATAGACTCCGCGCGCTCTTAATTTTCGATTGCAATATTGAAATCGAATAAAATATCAATTTGAATTCTAAACTAAAAGAAAAATGAATTTGTAAAACGTTTAAACACCGATTCGGTCGTTTGTTGCATGACGGTGACGAATTCTATTATACTCGTGTAAGATATTAATAACCGCGGAATAAAAACCTCGAAATCGACCGAAAACCGTGGAATTCTCGATATTATAAATTACAGACTCGGAAGATTTACCGACGCTGCATACCGGTCCGTAAAATTAAATCGCAGATTTTCCGTTGGTCGGCGGCGGTACTCCCAGCAATATTTTCTAACATAAAAATTTAGCGGACGACAAACCGCGATGACGATTTTTTTAAAACTAGTTTCAATTCTGACGACCGCGATACGCATGAAAACCGGTTATCGCCGGGCAGCTACACAATATTAACAATAATTTACACTGAAAACGCCGGTACATAATTTATAATTATTATTCGGGTAAATACTAGTTTTACCTGATCGCGGAAATTTTACCGTGACATCAAACTATGATTATTCACGCAATAATTTCCGGACGATCCCCGCAGACTGCGGTTGACGAAAAAAAAATGCATTAAATAAACATTAATCGTTCGCCCGGCATAAAACGAAGGGCATGAAGAGGAAGGAAGATAATCGGTTTTTTTTTTTTTTTTCAATTTTCAATTTTGGCATGGTAAAATTATACGGTACCCGTTCGACGGACATGCGTAAAATACTTGTTAAAAGTATTCAAAATAAATATTTTAATGCGTGTACAGAGAATAGAATTCGGAATACGTATTCGAGTACTTCCGACCAATAGTATTGTCGAATTGTTCCGTATACTTTGCAAACATTATTCAATATGTTTTTGGAACGCGTGCAAACAAAACATTTAAGTTCAGACGATTTAGTGGACTATGGTATCTATTGTACAATGAATGATAACGTGATTACGCATTATATTCGAACTGTCGAGAATTTCAAAAAAAATGTTTTCTATAATATTCAGAATGCTTTATTTGGAATACAATCCGTATCTGCCATAGGCCCGGTAATATATGCAGTTTGACTCTGCTAGAGGATTTTCAAAAAAAAAAAAAAACATTAACCCCGTGACTTTCAAATATTTGTTGAATTTCGCGGGTACTACGCGGATTACACGGATTACACAAGCACCGAACTTACTTGAGTTCGGGAATCTTACAAGCGTTACGGCCGTACTGTACCCGGACGGGTACTTTATAACCATGACCTTCGTGCGGGAAACCAATTCCGATTATCAAACAGTCCAGTTCGATGTCATCCGCGAATATGTCCGACGAGAGTCTCACGAAGCGTCCGACGTTCCGGAATGGACGTTTTAGCTGCGAAAACAATATATATGGACTTAAAGTCTTTTATAAATACACGAAACAAGAACGTGCCACAAAAAAGTGACAAGGCATAACGGAGAACGCGAGTTAGTTTTCATGAGCCCCAGCGGATACGTTCGGCACTAATACTTAACTTCAGGCACGGATCCAAAGCAAATATCTGGGAGGGCAACAATTTTTTTACGACACAAATACAAAAAAATATAATATAATATATTATTTTATCATGCATATCATTGATTGGAATATAATAATATCAAGATCTATAGAATTATAAAAAAAAATCGGAGAAATAATACATCTGGGGGGAGCAGGCCTCTAAGCTCCCCTAGATCCGTTCCCAATTGACTTGCACGTAACCGTAGTTTCGAAAGTATTCGCTAAGACGGCGCTGAGGCTAATAAACGAAGGCGCCAGGTAAGTGTCGCATGTGGGATTTTTTTTTTTTTTTGTCGATCATTACATATTATCGATATCACATATTATTATGGTTTTTCTAGGGCCTAAGTATTGGATACAGACCGAATGGCTACAGCCTAGGGCGTCAATCGGTTAATGGTAAATATGGGGTACCGTAAAATCATTTTTTTATGAACGTAGAAGCCGTGATTGCATGATATATACTTCAAAAAAATGTTAAAAAATTTGTTTAACTGTTCGAAAATATCAAATATATTAAATTATATCACATTCTATCAAATATGAAATACATTTTGTTTTTAACACTGAAAGTTTGATGTTTTTATGTTTCATATGGGCTTCCTTCTGGAACCATTCCTTTCCAAATATACCGTAGGAGGGCAAAACTAACCGTAGCCTACTGATGGAAAACTTCTTAATCAGGCCCTGGGTTTACCGCGTATTATTTCTATAAAAACAATAACATAATATTAACTGTGATTTCGGTGATGCAGTACCCTCAGTACCAATCCCCAAATACGTCACCACTTCCTACACATCCGTTTGTTTCCAGCCACGATTCAGTGCTACTCCCAGACCTCAGCGTGCGGTACAAAGTCCGCAATATTATTACGTACCCTTATCAATGACAAGTCGCCCACGCGTTTCACGCTATCGTACAAGGGGTGCGTGTAAATTTGCAGTGTTTGACGGTATTCTACTTTCTTGTTGTCCGTCGCAGACTTGATACGCCGAAAAGCCTAGAAACAGAAAAGCGATTTTCCACATTAGCCCGAGATTCGGTAACAGCTTATGCGCGGATCAACGCGCAGAACTGTAAACGTTTTCTATGCATTTCGTATGCGTTTCTAATCATAATAATATTATAAGGTACAGACGACAATCACCGTTTTCGTACAGACACGAAACTATACATAAATCTCGCCGGACGAAAATAAAAACGTTTAACGACCGAAGTTTTTTTTCGACCTCTACACGATACATGTAATGATACAGTGAACACAACGAGGCTTACGGACCAGTGTCCCCCTCGACTCCGTGTACAGGATACGCGGAAGGTCACAGGGAAAACAATTTGACATAGTTATACGAGAATAATAATATATACTCGATAACAGGTGGCATATACTATAAATTATTATTATGGACGCTTCTTGACCGCGATATTGTCTCGTCTCTCTACACAAACGTTTTGACCGCGACCCAGTTCTGTTGTTGTTCGCCACCCTATACGCACTCTGGTGTATCCGAATCGGTTCCCGTTTGGCCGAATCGGTTTCCGTTTGAAAAAAGGTATATTATGAAGGTGAGCCGAAATGGTTCCCGTTTAAATTTACGATGTATCCACTAATGGTCGGATTGGTTCCCACTGTTCGCAGTAAAAAAAAAATCGAATACGCACATTTCCCTTCCCATTTTTACAGGCTTACTAGTACTATCAAGGTACAATTTCTTAGATTATATACTAGCAACATTTCTATATTTTATATTCGGTATGTATATATATATATATATATATATAAGGGTGGTCCTTAGACTATGGATGAAGAAAATTTGTTCTCGATTTTTGATCGGGCTACCGCTGAAATTTGTCCGAACCCACGAAAAAAATGTATTTTTTAAAGTTTCGTAATAATTCGGTAAACCTTAAGGCGTGCCTCGAGAGGGTTGAAGTCCGAATAAGGGTTATTTTTAGAAATGGGACAAAATGTCCTTTTAGAAACATTGCTGTCGTCGAAAGTTGAAGCGAAATTGCCGGTTGAAAAGTTGTTTACAGATAAAAAAAAAAAAATAAAATAAATAAATAAACGTCTAGGGTAAAACCATAAGCTTTTTCGCTCCACTCAGAATCTAAAATTCACATAATTATGTCTGCATTGATTGTGTTTGTTGTATAAACGTGCGTATCAAACGGGAACTAATGCGGCGCGCCATCATAACATTCGTTTTTTTTCAAACGGGAACCGATTCGGCGTGCGGGATATGAGCTCGGGGATCTGTTCGGACACGTCCACGCACTCACCTTGATTCCGCCTCCGCCCCGCAATCGCGACGCGCAGTGGGCCGTCGACAGTACGAACACCGGAGAGACCAGAGTTCCCGTGCAAATGACGGTGCCGTCCGCGGATCCGTTCGAAATCAGTCCCACCACGAACGGGAATTCCGCGGTGACGTCCGTGTTACCGTCCGCAAAGTCGAGTTTTTTGTTCGAATATCTTCCTGCCGGCCACGGGCTCCCCGTCGCGACAAATTCCGTCCCGACAAAGCACCACCACGCCAACATTATGTTAAACACAAACATTTTTTTCCGCGGCACAATTGTACAGAAGGAAAATAAAGTTCTCTCGTTGACGTCAACGGTTTTTCACGATAACATTGCCGCGCAACGAGTTCGATAATTGACGTATCTTTGAATCCTATCGCGGCAATACAATATTTTTCCGCAACGACGAATTTATTTTATTCGACCGGTATTCGTTTCGCGGACGATTCTTCCGAAACATTGGGCGTTTCGGACGATGTAAATTTTCATAACGGGTCTTCATAAGCGGCGTTAATTTGCCGTGTTTGTCTGTTTCACGGACTGTGTCGGCCAGACCGTGAACGTGGCCGGGGCGTCGAATCGTATTCGTATCGGGGTGCCCCTCAGATCTCGAGACTTACCGATACCGCGGTATTTTGTGCGGGAGATTAAATTTACGTAGTTTCATTGTTTAGACTTCAGTTGACTACGATAAAATCATTTATTATCGATAATTATATTCGATTAATTGGGAAATCAAAGTTACTCAAATTACCAACTGAAAACTGAAATGCCGCTAAAAATCACTCGAGTGAATATAACGTTTTATTTATATATGATGTGTGCAAGCGAAATCCCTTGTTATTTTTAGAGATATTATCGACCAACCTCACCGACTTCTGACCCAATGCCGCGCGGAGCGACGTATGTGCGGTTTATAAAAAAAAAAAAAAAACACTATTCATTTTGATTGGCAATTGATACTTCGGTAATCGCCTAAAGGTTCTATTTTGTCATTTTCACGTTTTAATAACGCGTATACAATTATTTTTAACTTTTTTGTATTTTCAAAGCGGTTTCAAATAAAAGGCCTTTCCGTTTTGTTTCGAGCGGACGCGTTTTCGCCAAATCGTCCGTAGTTATGTATGTATAAGAAGACAGTGGCGACAAATGCCTGCACTGTGACGCTGGCTCCGTAACATTTCGATTCAGTAATTAAAATTAGCGACACCGTTGACGACGACGAGATGCGTATAAATTACAATATTATTACGAGTACGTAAAGGCGGTTTCGGTTGTAAAAAAAAAATACCGCCTGGTTTTAAAATAGTATTAAATTTTAAATAATCGCACTGCGAAATGCACGCAAGGTCGTTTGAATTTCATGTTATACAAGACCGGTTTTTTTTTTTCTTTACGCTTTGCCATAATATAATACGTTATCTGCGTATGATTTGAAATTTGATTGGCCTTGTCAGTTTTATAATATAATATACGGTTTTTGTACAATAATAATTAATTATTTTATAAAATTATTACACTAGTCGCCGTTGTACACATGCGTGTGTGTATACGTAAATACTGCAGTTTGTCCTGTTGCAGAATGTTTCGCCCGTTTTCGAAACCGCAACCAATAATGATGTTATATTGATACTACGGTTTTGTATACATATTATGCACGTAGGAAGCGTAAATTGTTTCGATCCCAAGACTTCCGTTTCAATAATAAAATAACGAATTTGTTCGATTAACGACGTCTCGCGGTTAGATTGAAACGAAACACACGTTATTTTATTGTTACGAACGTGTTCGGAATCGTCCGAAATTGGACGGGTAGTTAACGCGGCATGAGCAGTGCAGGACTGTCGGAGAGCGTGGGATAAGGGGACCAACAGAAAAAAAAACGTTGAAAAATTGTACGAAACGATCGCGTGTACGAGTATACGAACAATTTGGCCATAGCTTATTAGTTAACCGTTTAACGCTTCTCCGTGATTGTTTTCAGGGGAGATTTTTTTTTTTTTTTATAAAATTACTGCCTCCGATTTGCCGAAATTGTCCCGGAGAGCCGCTAAACTCCGAGAAAATATCGAATGCCTAAATACGTTAAAACCCCGTTTACGGTGTTTGCGTGTGCGACGGTACGATGTACGACTAGCGGCACTTACATATCCGTAATAGCGCGGTCCACTAGTTACGTAAAACGTAAAGGAGCCCGGTGCCGATTTTTCAATTTTTAAAAATGTTAGAACAATCGTTTAGATTGCGAAGGAAAACGTAGCCTGTAAGTTGTTTTTTTGTGCAGAACACGAAAAGTTACAGCTCAATCCCCATTCAGCAGTTTCGGCGTGAAAGCAGAAATGGTGACAAACACCCATCCAAACAAACTTTCACATTTATAATTACTGCCGGTTATCCTTGATAGATGGACATTTCATCACCGTGGACTTTTCTGTAGCCCTTTTTACGATACACAATTCCGCAATGAATTATCTTGATGTATGTCGTGGGGTTTCGCCAGCGTTGACGTTGTGGGAGCATCGAATTATTTTTTTACGATACGATTACGAAGCATCGACTTTTTGTAAAAATACGAGTAACGTGCGTGTATCCATTGATGAGAATGATAGTGAAATCCGCATCGAGATCCGTCGCGTACTGCAGAACGTACCGACAGACAGATGCGGATCGCGACTTTGTTTTATACTATACCCATTTAAAGATTGCTTTGTGTTAAATGCGAGACAAATATTATACTTATGTGATGGACTTCTAAATTCTGAGTGGAGCGAAGAAGCTTGTGGTTTTACAAAGATGTTTATTTTTTTTTTTCTGCGGATACCTTTTCTATCAGAGGACTTGCTCCGATTTTTACGTGTAGCACTTACCTTTTTTGAATGGAAATCGGTGTTGGGAGGCACCTTAGAGAAGTCATTTTTCGATTTTCTCCGGAGTTTTCACAGCAAATGTGAAAAACTAGAAAGAACGTAGGAAAACCGGGGAAATCGGTACAATAAAAAACAAATATTATTTAAGAAAATACGTAAAGCCTATTTAATTATTTTACTATAATACTAAAATATGGCATGTGTATTGTTGGCAAAGCGTCACCATCAACTGAACTACACTCAGAATCGTTTTTTCATAGGCAATGGTTTATCGTTGCTTACAGGTATAGATTAAATTATCTTTAACAGCGGCTGTTCCCGTCCCCGTTATCCTAGGACGTCTCTTTTTTTTTATTTTTTCCTTATCCAGCCCTCTTTCCCCTGAAAACCAACCTTAGCTGAAAAATATACGTACTCCCGCCATTTTATACGATATTTCAAAAAAATTATCCATTCCCCTCCCGATACCCAGCCCGAATAACGCTACTGTACAGCCGCAGTGCTGTTATTACGTGGCCAGTAGGTCGCCGCGTTATTTCGTTTTGACGATGTCGCGCGACGCGAAAAACTAGACGTATCGATAACAATATTGTTTTAAACAAATGTTCCGTCGTCGCCGTCACCTTCTCACCTGCGAATTATACGACGACGGCGATTATTATTATTATTATTTTTTTTTTTTTTTTATATTATTACGTTTACGCCTAGAATCGTATATTATACCGAACAGTGCAGTTTAACCTTTCGGACGGTAGGGGACGTAACGAAAACCTACCTGTATAACATTATATTATATTGTATCGCTGGTATACGTACAGTTTCGGAAGTGACGAACATTTTTTTTTTATATATTTTTTTTTTTCGATTATGTATTCGGCTGCAATAAAAAAAATGTATATATATATGTATAATGGGATACGAGCTGACTCGGAGTGTGCTGACATAGATGCCAAAGGAGGTGGTGGCACGTCGTCGTCGTCGTCGTCGTTTCGACTCCATTGTATGCTAATCGACGACGTGATATTGCATTGTCTACGGGACGGCGACGGAACGTTTGCCCGGTCGCGTATAGATACTTTTTCGGCGAACAAAAGAGGGAAATCCGACGCGGCGACCGTCCGAACGACGACAGAGTATGCGGTCGTCGGGAGTGGAGGGCGGCGACGGTGGCGAACAGCTATAGGATAATAAAAAACAAAAAAAAAAAAAAAAAAAAACAAAAAATAGAAAAGAATATTGAAAGAAGAAGAAGAAAAAAAAAACCGGGTCAAAAGTTCCACACTTCCTGTGTGTGTGTGTATGTGTGTGTGTGTAGTATCGTCCTCCTGTTGTCCGCGATCGTTTCAAAAATATAATAGTATTTCATTAACGTATTTATATTATAAACCTGCCTAATGTCATACGCATTGTTGTCAGTCCATTGCGAGTCTATCGTACGAACGCGATCGAATAAAATTACTTCACGATTTCCGGAGGGGAGATGAAAGGGGAAGGCACTTTTAACGGGATTAAATTAAATACTAATACCACTGACGGACGGTGAAAGGGACGATACATTATGTGTGACATAAAAGTAATAAGTAATAACCCCTCTATTTGATGGTTTTTTTTTTTTATTTTGCAAACAAATGTATGAAAATAATTTTTTTTTTTGTTTTTCTCGAATTTTCTTCGAAAACCGAGCCCGTCGCACTGTGGTGTATTTTTTAATTCCTATACAATACGTACTTTACAGGTAAATGTATATATTTTCTCCCTTCGTTACTATTGAGCGCTTTAAGTGCCTCCTTTTGGATTAAATGTGCGAACGAAATGCAACATAAATATAATAATAACCGTCACGTTAAATTTATATTAATGTCGAAAATAATAATCGTTTGGCCGAAAGTTATACGCAATACGGATAAGTATAGGAAGATAAAACGTTGAAAATGAGATGAACCATTGTTTACGGAAAAATGATTCTGAGCGAAGTTAAGTTGGTAGTGATGCATTGTCAACAATATATCTGTCATTTTATAGCAAAATAAATGAATAGGGTTTCCTCATATTTGATCATTGTTTTTCAAATTTGATAAGACAATCGAAAACTGACGATTTCCTTTCAGAAAAGGTGCTACACTTAAAGTTCTGACCGAGTCTTCTGGTAGAAAAGTTGCGCAGATATAAAAAAAAAAAAAAAAACCATAAGCTTCTTCGCTCCACTCGGAACCTAAAATGTTAAAAAAACTGTGTAACTGAAACGGTTAAATTCAACTGTTTCAATAAGTCTGGCATTTCCCACCCAATTATAATCTATAGTTTAGTCTTTGATAAATGGTACGAAACTATGATTTTTGCTATGCAGGCCCAAAAATCAGAGAAAACACGTCGAGCAGACTTACTGACCAGCTCGGTGCAATCATTGAGTGGCCCTGAGTTGGACATAAAATTATCCAACACCACATAATGAGACAGGAAAAGGCTAATGGAGAACGATGAGCCGAGGTTGGCGGTATGCATAAGCCGGAGTATTGGGAAGTGTTTCAGATAAGATGAAGTTGAGTAGAAAATGTGAAAAGGGACAAATTTACGAGTGAAACGGGAAGGAACTTTAAAGTGAATTTGAAAAAGTAAACTAGAAGACTAGAATCAATATTACATGTTAGGATGTTGGATATAGGAAGGAGAAAACAAGCGCCCGTCGGCGGTCTCCGAGACTAGATTATTATATTAACTATATAATGTATACAATTTCATGATGATTGTTTTTTCGTGAACCGTCGATTTTCTCGAAGGATGTTCGGTAAATTTGATCTATTGTTTTTTTAACCATTGTATAATCAAAACGTATTTGCTTAAAAAATGTATCACTATATTTCAAATTATTTAAACGAATACGAGCGTTTGATTTTCGAATGGAAACGCTATACTAGTCAAACAGATAATAGAAATGGAGGGAAAATCACTGCTATATAAATTTATTAAATTGAAAAAAAAACCTACGACTGTTACAGAAAAGTAAACAACGATGAAAAAAATAGTCAAATGTTCATTTGAAAGAAAAAAAATGGGAAAGAAAATAATAATGGGGCTTTTTTCTTGTTTCACTAGAAATATTAATTTGTTTAATTTGTCGCTGCTGATTGCACCGATTGGCGTAATAAATTTAAAATACTTATCGAATTCCTCAAAACATTTCGATATCGTCAGTATTGTGTGTATACATTTAAAACAGGCGAATCGGAAAAGTCTAATTAAAATCAACATAACATTGACTGATTCAAATACTATCAAATATGAATTCTACTGGACCTTGTGTGTTGCGTTAGGTACTGAATTCGATTGATGAAAATAAAAAAAAAAAATTGAGTACATTCGCGTGTGATAGAGAATTTAATAATAATGATTAGTATTATCGTCAAACAAATATATCATAGTCGTTTCACATAAACATTTTACTATTTATTAATTTCGATTATTTATACTGAAAAACTGTTTTATAAAAGTTCATACGAATTAAAATGTTTTTGTTACAAAATATTATCGTTTGTTTTACCAAAACATAGAAATACGGTCCCGTTATATCCGAATTGAGCGTTTCGTGGTGACTTTTCATTAGTTCAACCACTAATTATATTAAAATAATATGACGCATTGGCACCCGCAGGGAATTTATCAGGGGGGGGGAGGCATTACTATAACACAGTAAAACCCCTGAATACCGGACACTCTCGGTCGTTTGAAATTTGGTCCGCTATTCAGAGGAGTCCGCTATTTAGAGGGCGAAATCGTACTCATAAAATTAATCGATTAAATGAATTGTATTTTATTTTGTTTTTACATCAGTTAAATACGTCGTAAATTTACGACATTTCGTCCGCGCGAATTTACAATAAAAACGATCCGTCCAGTCGTTAAAATATTTTCGACGAAATATTGCAAATTTAAGATGCATTAAACTAGTGTAAAAATAAAATGTATTTAATCAATTTATTAAACTCTTTAAACAAAATTTCAGAGGGGCTGGCGCCAAAATGTAAAATAAATTATGTTTGGGCGCCCGGGAGGAAGACGATACGCGTTCAATATTTCAGGGGCAGCGTATAGGCAATTTTTTATCGAAGTTTAGCGAGGAAAAAAAAAATGTAAATTTATGACTCAAAAAATTATTCAAATTCGTTTTCAAACAAATTCAAAAGCGTTTCCGTGTCATTATCATAATTAGTTTTTATGTAATCGTGAAATTTAAATAAAACTAACGCACAAAACATGTTTTACGCGAACACAAATACACGGACCAAAATAAAAATAAATAGGTAGGTAGGTATACGAAACCTTCATAAAAAAAAATTATATAATATTATAAACATTTGAAAATAGATCGCGAAATTTAAGATTTAATTACGTTTTTATTATTTGTATTAACCGTCAAGGTATGCGACATGAAAAAATGTAGGGGGACCTAGAAGACGATTGTTGGGGCTTGGGGGCTTGGGCTCCACAATCGTCTTCCAGGTTCCCCGACATTGTTGCGTATCGCACATCTCCGTGGTTCCCCTTAACGTTTGCCAGGATGTCCCCCGATGGGAAAGGGTGACTTCCCCTTTTCAACACCTCACCCCTCAAATTACTGCATCAAGCATTGGCTCAACCAGCCTTATTTGAAACGCACCTAATTATATACGACATCGTTTCCTAGTTGCTATTGTACAGTTCTAATCTAACTCAATATTGATGTTTCGCCCGTTAGGTAAAACACCTTTGCATTAGAAATTGTAAAGAAATTTACTATTTTATTATTACTTTTATTATTTATTATCGTTTATTGCATTCGCAATACTATTTGTTGAGTGCATTCTTCATCGACACACTTGCCGCTGGACGATAAAAGCTTAACATTCTCGTGACCCTCTCCGCAGTAGCGAAATCTAATAAAAACATCAACATGACGTTAAGTCGAAACATAACACCGAATAATTGATTCATCGGCATGCTTATTTTTCCCTGAATATTTTTAAATTATTACTATGTATTAATGTCCGGTATAAGACCACATTGTACATTAATTGAAGGTCTTTTATTTGTCGCGCATTCGCGAATTGAATTGCTTGAAGTCGACGTTATTCATTAGTTCGTTATAACGTTCTACGTCATGTTTTACTATTGTGTATACTGTTTCGCTTTTTTTTTTTCGGTGAACACCGGGCCTTTGTTTCATCAAAATCGAGCCTTCAAAAAGGCGCGGTAACCGAACAAAATTGAACAAAACGATCCGAAATCTGATATTTTCTCTCGATTGTTTCTAATAAAACGCTAACATTGACATATTCGATTACGTATGGATACAAATTGTTTTATTATTTAATTATTATATTACTCTGTGTATACACATTATTCGCGGTTTATTATGTTCCATATTGCAGTCAAACCATCGACTAAATACTTATTATTTCAATAAACGACTTGTATAAAACTTCTCGGAATAATATTGAATTCTAAATCGTCTTATCGTCCTTATAATTGACAGCCTTTGAAAAAAAAAAAAAAAAATCACTGTATACACTTGTGGTTTTCATATAGCGACCTCTATTCGAAATTCCGAATAGCCGTACAACGTACAATGCAACCGGGACGAGTTTGGAAAATATCGATGCCCTGTGCAGTATTTTATTGAGCGGGGACGCGGTGCCTCGACTAGCTTTCTTTTTGCTTTTCACGTTGTAATATACACCGAGCGTATGGGTAAATCTTTACTGAAATTACTGTCTAGCTACAACATAAATTGTTGCGACCAAGACGCGCGGGGCCTCAAAAAAGCGCTCCTTCAAACGCCGAATGTAACACTTCATGGTATCCGTGATCCCGAAAAGTCTTTACGCGAGTAATCTTTTTGCCGAGAAAAAAATAAGCGTTTGGTGGAAAATTTGAATATGCATTTTTTGCGTGACGGTCCGTGTCCGCCCGGAAATCCCGCTGTCCGACGGCGCGGCGGGGAACGCAGGTTTCCGGTAGGGATATACATTTATTTTTTTTCCCCCTGATTCAACGGGCTTTACGTTGTGTATAAGATAATTATCACGGGTTCGCGGGCGAAAATCGCGGACGAAAAACGGAAGGAAAAAAAAAAAACAAAAAAAACGGCTACACTGCGCACGTATACACGTACTATATTATTATACTCTCGCGTACACCTATACCGGCGTATTATACGTACGCATATCGGCGGGAAATGAGATTTTTTTTTTTTTTTGTTTCGCCGTCGCGCGCGGTTCGTTCGGTTTTATATTCCGCGTATAAACAGTCGAAACCGAGTTCGACGACCGTGAAATTTCGACTATAAAATAAAAATAAAGTCGTTTTTTTTGTTTTTTTTTTTTTTTTTTTTTTCGCAATACTACTATATAATAATATTATATGCGTCCATTGTCGGCAGACCGTTGTTGNCCCCCCGGGGGGACGTTTAAAACGAAAAAAAAAAAAAAAAAACCATTTCGGTTTCGTCTCGTACGCCCGGACGATATTCAAAGCGATTCAATTAATTTCTCCTCCGGGACTTTGCGAACGCGGGTCCCCGGTAAGTCGTGCGTGGCTACCGCGCGCGCGACAAAACGTCGTCGTCGTCCGCGGACGTTTCTCTCTCTCTTTTTCTCCCGTTCTCAGTCCGCGAGTAAAATCAAGCGGCGTGTGACTGCGGCGGCGGCGGCTCCGGAGAGGGTCTCTCCGCGTCGTCGTTTTTTTTATTGTTATTTTTTTTTTTTTTTTCGCAATACTACTATATAATAATATTATATGCGTCCATTGTCGGCAGACCGTTGTTGTTTTTTTTTTTTTTTCGGATGTGGCGTGTGGAAAAAAAAAACGAATTCGAGAGCGAGCAATGCGGAACCGACGCGACGGCGGCGGCAGTGGCGGGCGTATACGACGATGACGACGACACACGCAGAGGAAAAAAAAAAAGTGAGGAGGACCGCGGCGCACACAATTTTCTAAGTCAGTGAATTCTAAGTCGGCGGTCTCGGAACGTTTCTGACAACTTATCACCTAGGTGGTATAGGCGTATAATACGTGTACGTTGTACATCCAATCTCCAGAAGGAAAAAAAAAATAAAAAAGCGGAAAAAAACACGTAATGTCATCGTGACGACAATCTACGCCCCGTCGCCGCCGTTTTCCCACATGACCCTCGTCTGAAAAAATAATACATTACGATTACGTAATACGGTCGTACCGTTTCAATTTCGCTCCGGAAAAACACTGCGCGGTGCACACTGCACCGGACTAGAATGTGCTTTCGAAAAATTATTACTCTAACGGGCCGTTATTATAGTTACCCAACGGATGATATTTTTGGATGTCCCGGAATCCCGAGTCTACGTACTTACGGGCGGATGCGTACGTATTTTGCATTTTACGTTACTCTATAGCGCCTTTTCGTCTACACGAGAACGCATTATTTTTATTTTACACCGCGCGGGAATTTCGCACACTGCCCGCCGCACTTTACACTGCGCCTTAAAACA